CCTATTAGGGTAGCGTTCGTACTAGACAGGGATTAACAACCTGATACTTGTGTGAGTCCTCTGCATTAGCCTGACGGTTGCATAGGAGATATCATGGGCTTTGTAAGACTAACTCAGCACCATGATGGCCGCAAGCTGGATCGCCGAGTGGTGAATCGTTCAGGCGACAAATCGGTTCGTGATGAATTAATTGTCTTGCGATTAACTGCCCAAGAGACCAACATGTATACAATACCCATGGCAAAAAGCATTGCGAGTTAAACCTTGGTAGCTAGAGTGTCTTCGAGGTTATGCTGGCGGCAATGCACTTTGTTATACTACATGCCGTCAAAGTCGTAGTGAGTGTGAAGTTATTAGTTTGTTTGAAAATGTAGGCCTTTCAAAATCAAATGATAGGAGAATAATAACAGGAAAAGGTAACCACACTTCAGTCGTTGTCGAAGCTGTACTTCCAAACGCTACCTATAAGAGAACAACTGCACACCACTTGGGAATGGCTGACCGAGTACTGATGTGTTATATCTGCTGATTCGCCGGCCTGTGGTATCTGCTACTGACCAGCTCCAGTGCCTAGTGTCGGAGAGAGAAGGGCTCACGAAAGGGAACACAATAGATATCTACCAAAAAAGTGGTTGCGAGAGCGCGAGTGCGTGCGAGTGCGAAAAGTACAACGGCCTCAAGCTTTTTATTGGAAGGACACTGTCTGAACTTGGTCCAATGCTGACGTACGCGGTCTGGCTTTAGTACGAGGCAGCGACGTGCTGCATATTGCGGAGGCGTTGTCCGTCCTTGATCAACGCTGACTCACGCTGTCTGGGTTTGATGCAAGGCTGTGACGCGCTGCATATTGAGGGGGCGTTGTCCATCTGGTTAACACCTAGCGGACCTGAGAGTCTCGGTAGATTTCGGGCATTCAGTGGCTGCTTTCAGGAAGCTGACCTTCCTGATATGATGGGTGTTGATTTCCAGATTGAATGCATAATTTGACGCAAATGTTTTCATTTGGTAAGACTGTGCTACAATAAACAGCCTCCCTGGCTTTGAAATGGCAGAGGCTTATGAAGGATACCCAAAAACCGATGACAAAGATACTGACCCTTTACGGGGTAATAGGAGGCCTTAAAGGGGATGAATGATTGAAGTTGGGTAGAAAACGAATGGTGGAAAACAACAGAGTATTCACCAATCCTACTGATCATTGCCCAGTCAGACAGGTGACCATGCTGAGCAGGTGACCAGACAGGTAAACCTATTGATCAGACTATTTAAATTTGCATAAAAAGTCAGGGTGGTTTCGGATTATTCGAAAGGTCATCCAAATACACCTATTTGGTCTAGCACACAGCCAGGCCCACTGCATTCAGAGTTGCTCCATAGGATAGACCTGACTGCAAAGTTTTCTCGTGCAGGTAGACCTTGAATTGCATTGTGCTCCTTCACTACTGGGACTAGTCAACAACAGCTAATCGTGTTTCCGATTGGTGGACGAAATTCTGTGAAAACGACATTCAGCTGAGATCCATGTTCAGATGTGCACTTCAACTTCTTCGAAAGCATAGTTAGATATTCGGGCTGCACGGTGAACAGTAGAAAATGTCAAACATTCGCTTACTAAGTTTGTAAGGTGGTAAGTAGCGAACAAAGCTTTCCGAACTTCACCATTTCAGATTGCAATAAATTACCGTTAGTGTGATACAGACACAAAGGAGAATGGATTCATCCAACACTCTGACCTTGTTGTCCATTATTTTCTATGTATGGTAACGTCCCAAAGACGATGGTTCGTGTAATCGGCTAGAATGTATCTACGTGGTTGGTCTCATCGCAGGGATGTAAAATAAACCGCTCCTTGCAAGAAACTCCGTTGTGTACCTTTCGAGGAAAACGCTTTGTGTTCGCTCTATGTGCTAGGAAGTGACGCTGTATAAAGTGTTAGTTCAACGTATACGATAGTGTTTCGTTTAGTCGATTCGCCTGACGCATCGCGAGTGAGGAAGACGATTGCCTTGTGCGTGAAGAACTAGGGAAGCGTCAAGCTGAATTTTTCGAAAAGCTTCAGTTTAAACCATACAATTGATTCTTTACTCTCAATTCTGCATTCGACAAGATGGATACGCTTTAGTCCCGGAATAATAACTATGTCATTCTTAATCGAAGCACACTTGTACGAAATTATCTCCAGTAATAAAATGATGATACGAATCGTTCGCCTGTAACACCTCTTCGCTGCCTAGTCTCCATGACACCCGAAGGAAGCGAAAGGGCTGGAATGCTGCCAAGTGGCTCAAGCCTCAACAGGAACAGTCGAGATGCATAGATTGGTTTCGAACCACGTACATTGCAGTCATTAAGTTCGTGCCTTAAACTGTGAAGCTTCTTGGGTTCAATCTGATAATACTGATGAATTCATCATTTCCATTCCTTATCTGCTCAAATACTGCTGACACCCCACCTTTCAGCCCTGATAATAAAAAAATTGCACCTCACTACGGCCAACTTTAGTCGAAACTGATCGCAACCAGTCGAATGGACACAAAGGACACCAAGAAGCACAGCTCAATCTTCACTGTGGCCTGAATGGTGTCCTTTAAACCATCCTAACAAACTGTCTTTTCCACTAATTATTTTTCAACAGAAAAAGGGAGACATCACAAACGAGAGATTCAGCTGGGTTCCCGGTGAGTCTCTCGCAAAACCGAATTTGTTTGCAAATGAGTCTAGTAATTTCGTGCAATTCAGTTTCAGTTGAAAGCTAAGGTTGACGGAAACTCGGGGACTGCGCCTACCTGATGAGCACCAAGAAGTGCGAAACCAATCGTGAGCTGTCGAAGAATTCTCAGCAACCTTATGAGTAGTGCATTACGAATATACATGTATCGCGGTATCTCGAATATCCTACCAACTGAAAAATGAAATCCTACCAACTGAAACATGAAGCGGCCTGGTCAGCACATTCAGTTCCCTGGAAACAGAACAAACGAGAGATTCAGTTGGGTTCCAGGTGAGTCCCTCGCAAAAGCGAATTTGTTAGCAAATGAGTGTATTTCGCTAAAAAGGGAGAAGCTATACGCCACAGGGCGCATGCATGTCGATCAAATCATTGATCATTCACAAGTACACATATCTGCGACCCAATCACTAGGACTGGGTGACGCGTAACCAAAATCGATGACTATGCCCACGCCAAATTCACCACTCGATTCGGAATCTTTCGGGTGCATAGTTTTGTTCGCGCATGTTTATTCAAGCGTGTCTAGTATCGCCTCACTTTCAGTTCTGGGGACAACTACACTGACAGAACTGAACGATGCTCGGCTTTTGACTCCTAAGTTAGCGGCATTCAGCTTCGAAACCAGACCTCCCTTAGTGT